CTTCGTCGGGTCTCACGAGCGTTTGTTCCCGGAGAATGCATTATTATCGCGTCCCGTGACGCGATCGACTTTGGCCGGGTCGCGAGTCGCGAGCGTCGAGCTGAGAGCGTTCGATACGAGAAATGAGGAAAAAAAGGCCGACGTAGTTTTACGTGGCAAACCCACCCAGGCGCATACGGTAGGCGAAGGCACCTAGGACAGCTCTATATATAGAACACGTAGGCCATATATGGCGTACACATATGTCACGTGCCTTCGGTGCGTCCCTTAGTCGATACACGCGCGATCACGCAGAATATGCTTTCGATGTCCGCTAACGAATTAACTTCTCTCAAAGCGCGATCTCGTTTGTTCAAAATTTGAGATTCATGAGATTTGAGAATATCCGATGCCGTCCAACTAATCGTGAGAGATAAATGTTTAATCATGTGTGACATCAGGTGGAAAAACATTTATAGCGCACCGCTTTTATAGTGCATCGCAACGTGATAATTCTATTTCGTGAATTCTTGAAATTTCAAAATAATTTTGCTTATTTTACAAACCGATTTAATATCAATTATAATCACCGATATTAAGGTCAAATTAAACGGTAATCTAATTTGAAGTGAAAAACATTTTAATAATATTTTCTTACAATATATAAGGACAACAATAATTTTATTTACATTTGGAAACTTGAAAACTTTGTTGAATTTATGAATTAATTGATTTTTGTTCGATGAACTGGCAAGTGTCCAAGAAGAAGACATTTTAATAACTCGATTCATAATGCGGTTTTAATAATAATGATAACAATGAACAATGATCTATATTATAATTTTCAAATTATGATTCTGCGGATTTAATAAATCTATTTTAATGAATGAGACATCGAGTATCAACAAAGAAATTTCGATAACAAGTGCGATGTATCACGATAACAAAGACTTACATATAACTCTCAGAAAGAGCTCGTGCTGAATTAATTCAAGGTAATCTGATCCATCTCCATCTCTCGCGACTAATCGGTTTAATTAAAAACGTTAATTAAAAGTGACGAGGCAATTATAGTCGGACGATCTCTACGCCTTAAATATTATTGTATATTGGGAACAGCGTACGCACGATGGATTTCATGTTCGCGCGTGGAAATCGAGAGGCCCGTACTTTTAAATTTTTCATGCCGAGAATAGAAAGATACTGTTAAGTCTGGTTGAATTTAATCGTGTATTTAAGGTAAGCGCGATTTCACTGCATTCCGGTAAATGTATCGAAATTATTCGCCATTGATTTCGCCAGTTAAATTTGTGCCGGGATGATACCGAGGTCAAAATTTATGCGAGTTAACTAGGCGTGCATAATTTTCGTTACGTACTTACAACGGTGACGGAAACTAATTGGAGCACCAGTAATATGACAACTCCAATTAGCAAGCTGCAGACAGCGCAAACACGCGGTTCCCCGCAGTTATCTGCAGCCTCCACATTGCCCCGAGGGTAATGAAAACTTGGACTATCGAACTTTGAATCTACCGGGAGATACTTTTCGGATAAGCAAGAATCCCTGGTTCGAGATCGGGAACTTTTGATGTTTTATAGGTAAATAGATGTATGTGGAAAAAGTGCTTCGACAAAAAAAGAAACGTTTTTCCAAACGTTTCACGCTCAACGAGCTCTAATTGCCATAAAATCGAGAGAATTAACGGAGTTCTTAAGTCGGAAAGACAATTCTCGAGAGCTCGAACTTCTTCGCGTAAGACCAATAGCTGCGCGAAGACAGCCTTGCTTGACCCCTTCTGCACCGAGCGCTTCCTTCCTCTGCGAAACTTTTCGTGAGCTTTTAAGAAATTTATTAAACTCCATTTCAAGGGAAGCGCAATTCTATAGTTAATCTTTCTGCAATCTAGTCTTTAAGCAAAACTCTTTACCTATTGTGCCATTTACACCGTTGAAATGTTCCCCAACATAACGTTAATTAACGTGCTATTAATTAAATGGCCTACATTGTACGAAACATTTACACAGCCCTTGCACATTTAATTATAATTTATTCAATTTGCCAAATCAAATTCTTCGTAAATTTTGACTTTTTAGGATAATTGATAAATTTATTTTCCATTTTAATTTTTCTAATTTATTCATTTATTATTTTAAATTTATCAATTAAACTAAAAAGTCAAAATTTACGAAGTGTTTAAAAAGTTTAAAAAGAAGTGGATTCGATTAAAGTAATTAAAGATTGAACGCTGATATTAATGTCAAACGATATCCATCATGCGGGAGAAAAAATTTAATTTTAATTAACAAATGCGGCTGTAATTTCTCTAGATTACCACGTCCTATATACGACTATAATGTAAAGGGAAGTTTAGGTGGTGACGCGGAACGCCAGTATTACGTACGTAATGCTCGTAATACCCGGCGTGTTCTAGATGTTTTAGCCACCGACATCGATCCCAGGTGTAGTACGGCGTGTTGTAAAAGTATACGACAGGGCGTCGGCGACAACTGTCACGTCGCAACGCCGCTGTCGCGACATGCTCGCGAGCAAAACGAGCAAATCGTCGCGCGCGCGAGCAATAACAGTCACGATAACACGAGGGTATCGCGGATAACAATTCGGCGGAATCAGAGACAGACGTAATCGCCGAGAGAGCAGGCTTATACCACAGATACCGTGCATAAATCCGCGTTGTTGACGACGCATAGAAGTATTCCGGTGAATAATTCGAGAGTTCCGAAGACGGCCTTCGGAAAAGTTACGAAAGTAAAGACTTGTGCAGTTGCGACTTTAGATCGTCTAACATTAAATGTCGCTGGGTCATCATCAAGGAATAAAACAGCCCGTGAGATATAATGAGCTTTATTCGACAGAGAAGACTCTGATCGGTATTATTAACGTTATCCCTCCAAAAAAAAAAACGAAAAAAGTGAGTAATTGATGAAAATCGCGAATAGTTAAGAACACCGTTTTCCATTTAATCGTGAGATTTAAATGCCCTTTAAAATTCGTGAATAACAATTAATAAAAAATTTGTGAAATATCTTTCTGGTCTTTCTAATATATCGGGGAAAATCGGAGACGACACGAGTCGTAAGATTCAAATAATGTTAACGATGAGTTCTGAAAATTGTCAAGAATCTGTTTGCGAATGCAACAAGCGAATGCATTATTGGAGCAAGCAGCTTGACCTGAGAAGAAGTGGATCAGAAGCACGGATGCGTTACGAGTGCTCCACGATTAATACGAATACTCGGCAGATGCCTCGGCACGTCTCGAAGGCAACAACATCTAAAATTCTATTTATCATATGCTAACGGTATGTAATACGACGATATATATACACAGAAAGGACAGTTTTGTTTGAAATATCCAAATATTTAACTGAATACTTTTAAAATAATTTGAATCATCAAGATAATTATGTAGAACTCAGCTCAAACTGGTTGCTAAATGTCAAAATTTCTTGAAGCATTACTCATCATGCTTGAGATTCCTACATAATTATTTAACGATCAAAATTATTTTCAGATTTGTGTCTAACTAAATTTTTAGATATTTCGGTAAAATCATTCTTTCCGTGTATGTAACGATTCAACAATAATTATTACCTCTTTCCTGTATTTATATTTACTGTAATATAAAATTACTTGTACAAAATGTATTTCAAAAGAAAGATAACATTCAATAAAGAATGAAAAGAGAATTAAAAGCTTGAAAGTTCTATCGTCACGACTGATGACAGATTCGGTATGCAGATCATCGAAATACGATCATATCAAAAAATTTCGACAACCTTGAGTAATCATAATTCCTTTGAAAGATTTAATCGGCAGATGCATGCATGTCACAACGACAAAGTACGGCATAACTGTACCGTGAGAATATCACGCTCCTACATTGCCCAGTTCAGCATAGCTGATGTGAGTCAAGGTCGTCGATTAGCGAGCAAGCTCGATTGAATTGTACTTCATATGTATAACATTGACACTTCATGAATTAGAAAGCGAAGAAAATTGAAGAACTTCTTATATTGGAGATATAAATAGCTTCTACATTACAGCTAACACCGTTCAATTTAAGTTCAATTCAACATCAGCTTAATCTCTGTACAGATAAAAACATTTATTGTGCCAATTCAACAATAATGACTGCTGTGAGCAATTGAACATCAAACGGTTTTATTAAATAATTAAGTATCAATTATAATTAAGTATCGAAGGTTTTCTTTTCAAAAGAAATCTTTGGAATAAACTCTTATGTGTGTAATACTTCAGATTAAAAATCTGTTAAAAAAACGATCATTCGGAATATCATGTGATTGTAAAATTATTTTGAGATGTTACGCAGATGGTTAAACTTAAATAAAATTAACATCGGGTGGTATATAGCGTGACATCGTGACCTCCTGAGATAATCATGAGCAGATGGTTGATTAGATTAAATGTGTAGCTGGATAGCCGGCAACTCTAAATCCGAATGAGGCAGAAGATAGGTTGCCATAACATCGATTAGGTCGATATGTAGGACAATGTGGGGCTAGTATTAAACGTAATTGAATACTTTTTTAATAAGACATCAATTAGTTTCGCTTCGGGTAAAAATAGCGTGTTCAAATGGAAATTTTCTAGCCGATTAAGTGAATATCGAAAATTAATGTGACAATAAGTAACTGTCATCATGATTTTATAAAAGAGATTTTATAATATATGATTAAAAATTACAATTCTAACATATATCATTAAATAGCTTTTCAAAAATTAAACAAATTGCTAAGAAAATTATCAGAATAATTTAAGAATATGCAATACTGTCGTATTATAATACCAATATTATTTATTTGCGAGTTATTCATAGTAAAATAAAAATAAAGTCTGTTAATAAAATACATTTTATGTTTATTAAATTTTTGTGTTACGAATTAATGTATACATACAGAAATAAAATCTCACGAGGCAATTAAATAATATACGTCCCGCTCAAGAAATTATTCATATGACTTTATGTTATACACTTACCTGCAATTCAGGCAGTCCCGCAAACTTCCTCATCTAACGTCCTTCATTTGCGCGAATCTGCAACAAGCGACATATGTTCCTATTATAGTCTCGGAAGACAAAGTTTTCGAACAACAATCCAATTTCTTGAGTATACATATTCATGCTGTTTCATATACATTTTCAGTGTTAATTTAGACACGGTCAAAAATTGCTTAAATTTAATGCCAGTTATAAATGATTCTGCAAGTTACATCGCTTCTCATTCGTACCCTCCCCAACGGCTAAAAGCATAAGTTTAATAACCATTATCGATTAATCTGTCGTATGAAGGGACGCACGATGTCATCGTTGCAACAGTATAGGCTGTACTCATTATCGACTAAAACGAACTACGTCGAAGCGAATTGGGCTTTATATATTTTCTCTCTGATAAACTGATTTCAATTACGCAATTAATAACATAATAATTTAATAACCTTAATAACTTAGCTTAATAACTTAATAACCTGATTAAATAAAAAAAATTTTTAATTAATATTAGATAAAAATGATAGATTATGTTAATAATGATTAATCCTGTATACGTTTAAATCTTCGTTGTAATTTTTGAAATTTGTTTTTCAATGCATTAGAGTTCGAAATTATTTTTATTCGAAGTATCAATCTAATATATTATGATATGTATATCTAATATATTATAATTCATTTAATATCAAGTTATTGAATAATTATGATATCAATTGCATAATCGAAATAAGAACGTATAAAGTTCAATTCGTTTCTTACGTTTTATTTAGCATTATTATATACCTATATATATTTCGTAGCACGAAATATTTCACATACACACACACAAACACTTATTATATTAATTCCAAACTAGCTCAAACAAAAAATAAAGCGAAGTGTAACGTAATTATGTCTGGTAAACTACTTTAATAAAAGATTAAATAAGCGACTTATAATTTTTGTGTAATATCCTTAGTAAAAGTTAATCCAACGAACAAAATCACAATTGAACTTTATTAAGAAATACTAGCGAGACGATATATCTTTCCACATAAATTTACTTCATGCATTACCACGTGGCAACTTCATTAACGTGAATACCGCTAGGAACAAGAAATGAAAAAAAAAGGAAAAATGTATCGCGGAGTAACACGGAACGGGGAAACGGTTACAAGTTTTCCAGCCACCCTCATGCAGTTTTGCATCCCTCAAGCACATAAGAAAAAAAAACGCGGAAAGTTCGCTCGTTGTGTTCGGAGGGAAAAAAACAGGATCGACGCGTTTACCGCGACTTTACAGCGGTTTCACGCTTTACAGCGGTAGACGCAAGGAATCAGCAGTTTTAAAGTTCACGTTACAATGTTGGCAAATCGATATTCAGCCGCAAGCTTCGAAGCGAACAACTCGAGAATTTGTTACCAATATTACATCCATGATAATGTATAAACAATTAAAATACTAATATTTAAAATAATATTAAAAATACTGATATTTAAAATAATATTAAAAATGTTAACATTTAAATTGTAACATAAAACAATTATAGATAACAATCCTAAACGCGTGCTCGACAAATTTCTTTCTATGAGGATCTTGGATAAGATTTAAAACTTTCTTCTCGTCGACCATTGCGTGCGCATGCTCACGTAAAATATCGACTCTTAACCACAGTCTAATAAATTAACACCAAGTAGATTATCCTTGAAATAAACTATCGTACTGGGCGGTTCAAAATTGGTATCGATCGCTGCCTCGAGAGTGGAAAGGGGTTGCCGGGAATATTCTCTTTGGAATATTTCGGCAATATTTATTTTTTCAGTCATCGCTGCGAAATAAGCAAATATAAACAGTACTGACAGGAAGTCGTATCGGTATTATTTATATTATTTCACCAATTTCGAAATATATTTCCAGCAGACAGGAACAATTTCGCATGTGAAGCAGCGTTCTCTCAAATTTACGTTAGTTTATTCAACAAGTTCAAAATCCTATAAGTAAACACTTAATGTTTCCGCTGAGAAAATGATAGATCGTGTTAAAGTTGATAACTCTATTAGCAACTAAAAGTACGAAGCGACTAATATTAGGCTTTACGTCCTTAGCAGAACCAGATAAATTGTAATAAATTATTTTCTCAGTCGATAAATATCACAAAGTAAACAAAGATAAATCATTTCAATATTCGATTTAAAAAAATATACGCAGCATCCTAGATATATCGAAAGATATATTGTAGATTCATAGAAATGCAACGCTGATCGTTGAATAAAAAAAAAATTCACAATTAAGTATCGTTTGTTTGCAGATCGCGCGATCAGGCAGCAGCACGAAACAAGTTCTGACGGCTATCGGTCGACCTGCTGAAGTAACAATGACACGCGCGTCTCACGCGCGAACAAACCCGCCAACGGGTATCCGTGAAGCCGAGCAGTCGGTCGGACGGGAGCCCCGGCTCTACGTGAGTATTGTACAATGAGAAATTCAATTTAGAGCGTTGGAATTCCGCGCGAACCGCGTCGCGACGTGAGCGCGACTCGACTTCGTAAAAAGGCGTCTCGCATGAAATCACACTGTCGGCGACGACGCTGCGCGATCTGCGGGATTTTATCAGCGGTAACGGAAGCGCAATGCGAAAGTGTCTCCGTTTAACGGTTGAAGCGCACCGCTAGACAGACAACAATACGAGTCAACAATACAGTTGCGGTCTATCGGCGTCGCTCCGAGTCGAATTTAAATTTATTGCTTTTTTTCTGCTAATTAAATATCAGTTTAAATGCCTGCTCCTGTCAAGTTCAATTGTAATACTGCCATAAAAAGAAAAATGCAACGTGAACTTTTGTCTCTCTACACTGTTAGATATTAAAGAAGCAATAATAACCCGATCCCTTGAATTAAATAACATTTTGTTATTTTTAACTTCCATGTGTATCAAAATGTAAATCAATTCATTTCTGTAGAGATTAGTTCATATGAACGTATGTACTCACAGTAAATAATAAACAAAAATTCAGTTAATAAATTTTTTAAATTGATTTAATAAATTTTCTTAAATTAAATTGTTTAAAATTTCATTGTTTTTTTAGTTAAATTAACAACATATTAAATAGGAGCAGTGACAATCTATAAAAATAATTAAAAATAACCCGTATAATTTGACATTATCAATTTTAACAGCGTATATTCACTTAAAATGGATAAACGACAATGTGTATACAAGACATACTCGTAAAAAATGGTCTAATCTTCAAGATTGTATAAAGAGTTATGCGCTGTCATGAAGTACACTTTCTTATTGCGAAACCTCTCTACGAGCATATCTCTGTGCAACAGCGCAATACCAATAAACCACACTTTTTTTCGGAGTGCAAAGAGGATTAATCTAAATTTTATGTCCCCAAGTACAAAATCGATTTTCTCGAGTTTTTAAGAGAGTGGATTAGAAGACCAATTTAATTTTTATCTATATATATTTTTATCTATATACTTTTTATACAGTACCGGTCAAAATTATATCATCTTTCGATTTTTTCAGCATAACTTTTGTCAAAGTGAATCGAATGCGCTCAAATTTATACAATAGACACTTGGTATACCTTGTACGTAAAGTATAATGAGATTTGACAATGTACACCATGATTTTTTAATTTTTTACTAATTTTTCACTTTGATAAAAGTTATGCTCAAAAAATCGAAAGGTAATATAATTTTAATCGGTATTGTACCTGTATACGAGTATATGTATACAGGATGAGGCATTTTAATCATCCCAGGAGAATATCTCAGAAATTAAAAGAGATATAAGAAAAAGTTTTATTCTTAGGGGAAAGAAGATGGATATAACGGGTTTTGGATAGGGGGCTCGAAAATGCTTCATGAAAAAATATTTTATTATAGCGTTTTTTGGAAAGCTCTCGAGGTGTGCTACAAGAATATGCAATAAAAAATTAGGGGTTCCATTTAAAAAATTCATGTTGACTCTGACCTGACCTTGGTAGTTTCCCCTATCCAAAATCCGTTATTTCTACCTTCTTTCCCCCAAGAAAACCTGCAACTTTCATATAAAACTTTTTCTTATATCTCTCTTAGTTTCTGAGATATTCGCCTGGGATGATTAAAATGCTTCACCCTGTATATATACATATATATAAAACAAATATTAAGAGCAAATCAATACTTGTCATTAGTATTATATTCGTAATAATAAATGATAAACATGTTAATATTTAAGTTATATCATAAGACAATAGCATAACAATTTGAATACTCCATCATTTAGAGAATCCAAATGAGACAATAGAATAATAATTCGAATACTCATTTAAAGAATCTAAATGAGAAAATAAAATATAACAATTCAAATATTCGTTTAAAGAATCTCTTTCAATGTATCATAAATAAAAAATTATGATATGAGCATGAAATGATACAAAAATTGAAGATGAATATCCTATTCATTTCGTAAAAATGGTGTTTTCAGATCTGAGGTACGATTCGGCTACGAGGATCCCCCCGAGCGATCTAACCGGTCGTAATGCAAAGTCGATCGTGCTCGGGGGGAGAGGAGAGAGGCGTGTATCCGGTAGGTTTTTCCGACAGAAAGCGTTTCCGGAAACGGTAGATTCATTTTCGAGATAATCAACGATCTCGGAACAACACGGATGATTGAAATTCTCTCGATCTTCGTGATAACGAGTGATCGGTAGTAACACGTGCGACACGTTATTATATCATCAATCTCAATCTATGAGACACATCGGTGAGCCTATTAACGAGGAGATCGAGATAAACTTACAACTTTAAAGAGGAGAAAGGTAAAAATAATTAATCTAGTGACGCTAATTGGTCGCATTCCAATCCTATTAAATCAAGAGAGACACGATTAAGATCAACATCGACGGGTGAAACGACGAGAACAAGATAATGCAGAAGGTAGCGGTGATGGCCGCGGTGCAAAAGGCCCACGGCTATCATAACGGCAGCAATGCTTACGGGGATGCGAGTAACGCCCCACCGGAGTATAACGGCTCCTCGTCAACCAGCAAAAGCGGTCGCTTCGACGCGGATCT